TTTACAGAATCTGGACTCAGATGACCTGAACTACGCAGCTCTACGTTTCCAGGCGAAACCAAAAAGAAACCACAGACCTGCACCAGGGAGAGAGCTGGAGCCACATGTTGTGTATGCTGCCACCAGATAGACTCAACTGGGACTGTAGCTCTGAGTGGAACTGATGCTATATAACATTAATCTGCTGTTGTGTTTTTGTGTGTGAGTAGTGGGTGGAAGGAGTCCAGAAATAAACTTTGATTCATGTTTATGTATTGTCTCGCTTAAGTTTCTTCGTCTCTCTATGGGTTGAAGTGTCTGTCTTTCAGATTTGGTCTGAGAGAAAAAAAAGATGATGCTTAATGTGTGACGGCCGACGAGTCAGAAAGGACACTGATAACTGTCAAACTTATTTATAGAGAATGAAATGATCTGTGCAGGGAGGAGTTAGTGAGGTACACACCACTTGTTTGTCAGGAAGCGACAGCACAGTGTGGTCTGAGAACAACTGAGGTGAAAATTGTGAGACCACTGTACTCAAAGCTCAGTGGAAAGTATAAAATGAAGTAGTGAAAACTAATTTCTTCTTTTGAAATTAAACTAGCTGCTGTAAAGAGACCTTTTTGGGAAACACAATGACAAAATAGTAATAGAACAAACCACCCATAAATCCACGAAAAAAAATGGTGCATGAATTTAGAATGGCCAAATTGTGATGGCAAGACGAGTGGGTCAGAGCATCTCCAAAACTGCAGCTCTTGTGTTGTGTTCCGGGTCTGCAGTGGTCAGTACCTATCAAATGTTTGTTGGTACGGGGCTGCATAACATTATGACCACCAGGGTGCCCAGGTGGTCATCATGTTATTGCTGATCCATGTACATGATTCTGCACAGAGATGGCCAGACATCTAACTGAGGTAATATTTAACAAAACATATTTTTATAAAATGCTTTAGAGTAGAATACTTTGGTAGACAGAGGTCTGTAGTGCCTCCTGGAGGAGATGTGATTTCAGTATGCCCTTTAGTAAGCCTGTTTGGTTATACATACCTTGACCGAACAGCGATGATGATGATCTTGGAGGATCAACTGTTTACACATTACATGCAGAGGGAGAATGTCAGTGTGCACATGCAAAATGTCTCCCTTGGGTCTGATAAAAGGAGCTGTGGGTACTTACAGTACTTACAGTGACTGTGTTCTGTCGACACCTCCCTCTGTCAGTAGAAGAACTGACACAACACAGAGAGAGAGTGGAAATGTATCTCTAGCTCCATCAGGCTGCCCACTGGTGCTCCTCAGGGCTACATACTCGGCACAGTGCTATTCAGACTGTTTACACCAAACTGTCGAGCAAAATCCAGTTTCAGTCACGTCAATAAGTTTGCTGAAGACATAGTAGAGGCAGACTGTATCAGCAACAATGATACAACAAACAAATCATTGGCACCTCTGTGCTGAGAGTCAGGGGCGCAAAAGTGGGGTTAGTCCCCTAACACCACCCCCTATGACTTGCTGATTTGATTACTAATTTATTATTGTGTTTTTCATGTTTTGCTGTCTGTGCACCTCGGCTCCGGAGAGGAACAACTTGTCGTTCTAATGGCATATTTGAATACAGTTCAATAACAACAAACTTGCAGGTGATTTTTACTGTCTGAGCTGCTGTATCAGACTGTTATCTTCCATGATGGCTGTATAAAACTGTATGAATGGCAGAATAATTGTTACTTGATGCCGTCTGAAATTCTTTGAGGCATATTTTTGTCTCAAACAGCATCAGCAACAGATATTTGGTGGTGAATGATTTGAGTTTCTTTACATGAACTATATGAATACTCCGCCCCTTTCCATTGATATAAAGTGCTCTTGCTGTGACACGGTTATACGCACAATGAAGAGCTTCACCTTAATAACAGCTTTACTTCTCTGCAGCCTCAGTAAGTACTGCTATTGAATTATTCTGCCAGCAAATACAATTCTAATCTCTCTTTTGTCCAGTGTAGAGGTATGTTGTTGGTTTATCAGCTTATGAGTAAATCTCATGTTTTCTCCGCTGTGTGTTTCAGGCTGGATCTCTGTCTCAGGTTCTGAGTCTCAGACTGTGGAGGTTCAGCCTGGTGAAGATGTCACACTGCTGTGCTCCAACATTTATAAAGTTACAATTCAGGCGGAGTGGTTCAGAGTGACCAACAGAACCAAACCCAGCTGTATCTCCTATCTGTATAGTGCTGATGGTAAAGCTGGTAAAAAGGTAAAATTCTGTGATGAATCTCAAAATGGAAAATATAAAATGAGCTCCAACGACTCCACTGTTTTTCTTCAAATCAAGCAAGTGAATTCATCTGACTCTGGACTGTATTTCTGTGGATTTTACCTAAACGGACACACCATCATTTCCACTGCAACATATTTAAATGTTAAAGGTAGGTTTGTAATTAAATATTACCTTTTATAAAGATGTCATTATATTTACATATGTATATTTACAATGTATTGTCACAGTATGAAAGCAGCATAAAGTCAAAGAAGAAACCGAAACATTTCATATGGTTTGATCGTCTTTTAAAGGTGATGGTGAATCTGATGATGAAGTGTATTGTAACACTCAAAGTAAGGTTGTCCTTTCTTCTCTTAAGATTATTGTCATTGTACAAGTTACCATAGAGCCATTCATTTTGAATAAAAGACAGATTAAAAGAGTTGCCTGTACCATGTTTCCAGTAGAGGAGCCTGATGGAATGACAACCCTAATGAGTGTGATCCTGGGTGGTCTGACTGCTGTCCTCACTATAGTCATCATTGTTCTGGCTGTTAAAATCAGGAAACTTCAGACAGGTACAGTACATTTATAATTTGTAGCACATCATCTAGTGAGCTGTGTCAACATGACGGACAAATCCAAAGTAAAGTATGTGATCAGTAATAATGAACTAATCAGACTTTTGTCTTTTGTCATTTAGCTGTGACGGAAGAAGCGCAGCCAGAAAGAAACAAGGTGAACCCACCATTAACTTACACAAACTGTGTGTTATAGTTTTAAAGTTGCATGTGAACACATGATGAGTCTGTTAATGATCTTTGTCCCGAGCTGCTGCAGGTGGAATCAAACAGCAAATTCAGACAGGCAGTCACAGCAGACCTCTTTAACCTCACGTAGAAATGATCCTATTAACTCATACTTTCAACTCTAATTCCAGCTGCTATCTTTAAACTGTAAACTGACAGTTAAGGTTCATTAACTTGAAGCAAAAACGTGATTAACTTCATTAACTTGAGCAAAGAAAAGAAAAGATAGAATGGTTAACATTGGGCTTACTCAGAATGTGAACAAATGCTTGTTGTGTGCTTACCCAAAAGTAATGCCAGTAGTTACCCTGTTTTTTCCGTGTGAAACACATGAAAATGCATCAGCCAGAGAATATTCTTTTTAGAAAGAGAAAATTGAGTGTTCTGCCATCCTGTTGCATATAGTTTTCTGAAGTACAGTTACAAAATGGTTATTTTAAATTTAAAATACGGACACTGTAAAGGTATTCTATTTGCTTTGATGTTCTTAACTGATTTCTTTGTGGTCCAACACTCAAATCCACCAATGAGCAAACTCAGATACAGTGTTTGTGTGTATGTGACTCTAAATACTACTGATTTACAGAATCTGGACTCAGATGACCTGAACTACGCAGCTCTACGTTTCCAGGCGAAACCAAAAAGAAACCACAGACCTGCACCAGAGAGAGAGCTGGAGCCACATGTTGTGTATGCTGCCACCAGATAGACTCAACTGGGACTGTAGCTCTGAGTGGAACTGATGCTTTATCACATTAATCTGCTGTTGTGTTTTTGTGTGTGAGTAGTGGGTGGAAGGAGTCCAAAAATAAACTTTGATTCTGTATTTTCTCACTCATGTCTCTTTCTGTCTCTCTCTCGGTCAAAGTGTCTGTGTTGCTTATGAGAGGAGGGAGGAGTTAGGGAGGTACACATCAATTATTTGACAGGAAGTGACAGCACAGTGTGGTCTGAGAACAACTGAGGTGAAAATCACGAGGCCTCTGAAGCCAAAGCTCGATGGAAAGTACAAGAGGGAGCAGTGAAAACTAACTTCTTTTGACAAAACTCAACTATGAAGCCAGCGGGTATAAAGTGCAGGACTGTGACACAGGAATCCAGGATTCTTATCCAGGTTCAGGCAATAAAAGCAGTTTGGTTAAGTTTTGGAAAATATAATTATTTTGGTTAGATGTTAATAAAAGTCACTTTTTCTGTATTAATGCCAGCTCCTAAAAATAACCATAAACACTGCAGTCACTGCAAGTGGATAGTGTATTGCTTAATAGTTTTTGAGTCTATCAAATCTAATAAGTTGTCAGTGAACATTTTACTGATCCATTCAGTATCAGGATTTTTGCAACTTGCCAGAAAAAAGTTGTTACAGTGTGTGACATACAGTATGTAATGCTAAATACTCTGAGCTACAGAATCTGGGCTCTGATAAGCTGAACTCTGCTGCACTCTCTGCAGTTCCTTCCAAAGACAATAGGAAATAGGAGACCTGCATCAGAGATACAAGTAGAGATAGACCAGCAGATAGACTCATTTTATGCTGTGTCATCGGTGTGTGAATGTGTATGAATGAGTTAGTTTCTGTTCGATGGACTTGCCATCACTGTGTGAATGTGTGTGAAAGGGTGAATGTGGCATGTAAAAGTGCTTTGAGTGGGTGGAAGACTAGAAAGGCGCTATACAAGTACAGGACAATTAACCATTTACCATTTTTACACTGTCTCAGCTGCTGTAACAGACTGTTGTAGATGAGGTGAGGATGTATTCCATGATGGCTGTATAAAACTGTAAGAGTGGCAGAAGAATTGTAAGTTCATGCCATCTGAAATTCTTTGAGGCACAATTTTGTCTCAAATGTTCCGTGGTAAAAGATGTGAGCTTCTTTACATGGCCTATTCAATTCCCCGCCCCTTTACAGTGATATAAAGCGCTCTTGCTGTGACACAGTAATACGCACAATGAAGAGCTTCACCTTAATAAGAGCTTTACTTCTCTGCAGCCTCAGTAAGTACTGCTATTGAATTATTCTGAGCGACAAATACAATTCTAATCTCTCTTTATCCAGTAATGCATTTATTTTCAAATTATTTCTTAATGAATCAGTTTATGAGTAAATCTCATGTTGTCTGTGCTGTGTGTTTCAGGCTGGATCTCTGTCTCAGGTTCTGAGTCTCAGACTGTGGAGGTTCAGCCTGGAGAAGATGTCACACTGCTGTGCTCCAACATTTCCAGAAATACAATCCATGCAGAATGGTTCAGAGCGACCAACAGAACCAAACCCAGCTGTATCTCCTCTATGTTTGGATCTGATGGTGAGGCTTCATTCTGTGATGGATTTCAAAATGGAAAATTTAAAATGAGCTCCAACATCGCCATTATTTTTCTTCACATCAGGCGAGTGGATTTATCTGACTCTGGTCTGTATTTCTGTGGATTTTTCACTGGCACACATACAGTCATTTCTACTGCAACACATTTAAACGTTGAAGGTAAGTCTGTAGATAAACATTATCTCTTTTAAAGATCTCTGTATCTTATCATGTTTATGGTATATCAAAATATATTGTCGGAGTATGAAAATTATTTCATCATCTTTTTTTAAAGGCGATGGTGAATCAGATGATGAAGTGGATTGTAACACTCAAAGTAAGGTCCTTCTTTCGTCTCTTAAGATTATTTTCATTGTGCAAGTTACCATTGGGCCATTCATTTTGAAATGAAAAAAAATCTAATTCTACCATTTTAGATATGATAGTCGAGGCTGATGGAATGACAACCCTAATGAGTGTGATCCTGGGTGGTCTGACTGCTGTCCTCACTATAGTTGTCATTGTTCTGGCTGTTAAAATCAGGAAACTTCAGACAGGTACAGTACATTTATAATTTGTTGCACATCATCTAGTGAGCTGTGTCAACATGACGGACAAATCCAAAGTAAAGTATGTGATCAGTAATAATGAACTAATCAGACTTTTGTCTTTTGTCATTTAGCTGTGAAGGAAGAAGCGCAGCCAGAAAGAAACAAGGTGAACCCACCATTAACTTACACAAACTGTGTGTTATGGTTTTAAAGTTGCATTTAAACACATTATAAATCTAGTGTCATATCAGCATGTATAGATGGTGTATTATAGATGTAGCATTGGTTCAACAAAATGGACAGTTCATGAATGAATTTTATTCAGCGTGCCACTTAATACTGATTTTAAATACTGTCCAAAATTAGCCATCAGCTGGTGTGTATGAAAAGAATAGCAAGGATCTTTTATCCCATTATTAATCTCTTTTAATGATATATTTTCTCCAAATGGCCTCACATTACAAGAAAATGAATATCTTAAATGAACTCTATGATGTCCATTCTGGCAACAACTCTTTTCAGCTGAATTATGAATCCTCTCCAACAGTCATGACAATGATCTTAAAGGCTGAAATCAAGTGTGATCAAATGAACCACACTTATTTTTGAGTTTTCCATAATTATTGCATGATCTAAAGACAAAAGTCTTTTTACACTTGCCATTTTTGCACATTTTGCACATTTGAAAGTGTGACTTTAAACTGTACATTTTAAACCTTAATATATATATATATATATATATATATTCTTAATATATTGTATGTCTATTACATCTGGAGTATATGTAACGAAAGTAATTTCCCCCTGCGTTTCATAAAGTATTTCTGATTCTGATTCTGATCTTTTCCACAAGATCTTTTTGCTTTCCAGCAAAAGCAGACAGTGAAAATGATCTGTTCATAGTCATACTGACAATAAACCAGGAACATATACACATTTCACTTGTTTCAATGTCTATATATGCAAAAGATGTCACAGACATGTAGAAAATAATTTTTCTAAACTCAACACCTCCTGTATCTGTTAGATTAAAGCAGACTAGTGTTTCTGTGGACACAATCCATTCATATGGCTTTATGGTATTGTATTCATCAAAGGCAAACTCAGTGTAAAAATACAGGGTTTGCAGCAGCAGCTCTGCAGAAACGCTCTCAGTGTGATCACCTCAGGTGTACGAGCTGCAGCAGTTGAGCAATGCAGCGATGCTCACACATGCTGTGTGGACCTAGCTTTAGTTGAAATGATTCCTTTGTGATTAAACCCACAAATCCACCAATTTAACAGGTTGTTTGGCAAACTCAGATACAGTGTTTGGGAGTATGTGACTCTAAATACTCTGATTTACAGAATCTGGACTCAGATGACCTGAACTACACAGCTCTACGTTTCCAGGCGAAACCAAAAAGAAACCACAGACCTGCACCAGAGAGAGAGCTGGAGACACATGTTGTGTATGCTGCCACCAGATAGACTCAACTGGGACTGTAGCTCTGAGTGGAACTGATGCTTTATCACATTAATCTGCTGTTGTGTTTTTGTGTGTGAGTAGTGGGGGGAAGAATAAACTTTGATTCTGTATTTTCTCGCTCATGTCTCTTTCTGTCTCTCTCTCTCTCGGTAAAAGTGTCAGTCTTGCTTATGAGAGGAGGGAGGAGTTAGTGGGTTACACATCAATTATTTGACAGGAAATGACAGCACAGTGTCGTCTGAGAACAACTGAGGTGAAAATCATGAGACTTCTGAAACTTCTTTTGACAAAACTCAACTAGCAGCCAGCGGGTATAAAGTGCAGCACTGTCACACAGGAATCCGGAATTTGCATCCAGGTTCAGGCAATAAAAGCAGTTTGGTTAAGTTTCGGAAAATATCATTATTTTGGTTAGATGTTAATAAAAGTCACTTTTTCTGTATTAGTGCCAGCTCTTAAAAATAACCATAAACACTGCAGTCACTGCAAGTGGATAGTGTTTTGCTTAATAATTTTTGAGTCTATCAAATGAAATATGTTGTCAGTGAACATTTTACTGATCCATTCAGTATCAGGATTTTTGCAACTTGCCAGGAAAAGGTTGTTACACTGTGTGAGTTACAGAGGCCTGCGTCAGAGAGACAAGTAGAGATAGAGCAGCAGACTCAGGAACCAACTGAAATGGCAACTGCCCTTCAGTATGCACTTTTGGTTGTACCGTACCTCATAGACCGCGGAACCGGGGGAGCCAGGGGGGCCACGGCCCGGGTAACTTTTGTACTCTGACAAACTATTTTATATGAATAAAAGCCTAACTTGTATCTATGTTTTTATGAGCCAAACAATACTAGTCAGCACACACCTTCAAACACTCTCACCAACTGCTGCCGATAAAAAACTCCCACTGACTGCTGGATTTTGATTTGAAATTGGTGTGCATTGTTTATCAACTACGTCATGTGTGAGCGTTGTCGCGAGCTAACGGCGGGCACCTGCCAAACCGCTGGCTGCATTACCTGCAAAAATGAAGAGACAGAAGTCAATATCCAATTTTTTTCTACAAATAAACAGGCAAAACAAAATGAGCAAACTACTCCAGCTTCCACTGTGGCCTCAACAAAAGACCCGGACCGTCCATCTCTACCACGGACTCCGACGACGTGTGTGTGTGTGTGTGTGTGTGTGTGTGTGTGTGTGTGTGTGTGCGTGCGTGCGGCTCTGCACATCAGTCTGATATGAGTGTTGACTTGTGATGATAATGACTATGATGTTGATTTAGATTCAAGGGTTTTGGTTGTGGTTGTGGACTGGACTGGATGTACTTTGTTGTTTGCTATAGTTTCATCTGCGCGTTCATGGGTAAATATCCAATCCAATCCAATCCAACTTTATTTGTTAAGCACTTTAAAACAACCAAAGTTGACCAAAGTGCTGTACAGGAGAATAAATAAGACATCATAAATAAAAGACATAACAGCTCACATGAGGCGCAAAATAACATATAATACAACAATAAAATGAAAAGACATAAATAAAAATAATAACCATGCAATAACAAGCAATCAAAAAGTAAAAATAACAAATACAAAAAAATAAATCAAGTAAATAAAGTCGACATCTTACTAGGTGTCAAAGGCCACAGAGAAGAGATGGGTTTTAAGACCGGTTTTAAAAACAGACAGAGAAGAGGCCTGTTTAATGTGCAGAGGCAGATCATTCCATAATTTAGGAGCAGACACAGCAAAGGCACGGTCCCCTCTGAGCTTCCGCTTAGTTTTAGGCACACTCAGGAGCAGCTGATCATCTGACCTGAGGGGGCGGACGGGTATATAGGGGTGTAGAAGCTCAGATAGGTAGGGCGGGGCAAGACCATTTAGGGATTTAAAAGCAAATAAAAGAATTTTAAAATGGATCCTAAATTGAATTGGCAGCCAGTGGAGTGAGGCTAAAATGGGGGAAATGTGCTCATGTTTACATGTGCCAGTTAAAAGACGTGCAGCAGCATTCTGTACCATCTGAAGACGGGCGATGGAGGACCCACTAACCCCCACATATAGTGCATTACAGTAATCCAGCCGAGTGGTAACAAAGGCGTGGATTACCGTCTCAAAAGGAAATAAAATAAAATAAAATAGGCTTGGCCTGTTGTGTGTGAATGTTAGAGTGGGATCAGAGGGGTTAATCTGAGCAAGCATGTGTGTGCATTCATCATGTGTGTACTGTAGATGTGACTGTGTGGTGTCGGAATAAAATTTAATACGTCAGTAATATTGTTTGTTTCAATGCATATGCCCCCCACCCCCTCCGCGTGACTTGAAATTATGGCCCCCCCTTGTTCAGATGCGTTCCGCGGTCCATGCCGTACCTTTACATTACAGAGATTCAGTTGATTAGAGACAGACATGATCATCTTGGATAATCTACTGTGTGCATGTGTACAATACCTCCTCTGAGTCTGATAAAAAGAGCTGTGGGTACTTAAAGTGCTTAGAGTGACAGTGTTTGGTCTGTCGACACCTCCCTCTGTCACTGGAAGAACTGACACAACACAGAGAGAGTGTGGAAATGTATCTCTAACTCCATCAGGCTGCCCACTGGTGCTCCTCAGGGCTACATGCTCAGCCCAGTGCTATTCAGACTGTTTACACATAAACAAAATCCAGCTTCAGTCGATAGGTTTGTTAATGTCACAGTAGAGGCAGACTGTATCAACAACAATGATACAACAAACAAATCAATGACACCAGTGTGCAGAGAGTGAGGGGCATGAAGGTTTTTGGGGAGTACATAATCTACAGTTTTACATAGTCCCCTAACACAATCCCCTTTCCATGAAAGCACTGTTTGTAACCATGATCCTTTTAATTTTTAGCTATTATATTAATTTTTAATTCATTATCTAATAATGTATTCATGACACAGGGACTTGCTTGTTTGATAACTGATTTATTATTGTGTTTGCTGTCTGTGCACCTTTGCTTCAGACTGGAACAACATGACGTTTTCCTGCATACTTGAATACAGATGAATAATGTCATGGCCGGTTGTAGATCAGAGGTAGAGTCATCCATTATCAGAAGGTTGTTGGTTCGATCTCCATCTCCTTTGGCTGCATGTCAAAGTAGCAGTAGTCAAAGACCTTGAGCAAGATACTGAACCCCAAATTGCTCCTGATGCTGTGTCATCAGTGTGTGAATGTGTATGAATGAGTTAGTGTCTGTTCAATGGACTTGCCATCACTGTGTGAATGTGAGTGAAAGTGTGAATGTGGCATGTAGTGTAAAAGTGCTTTGAGTGGGTGGAAGACTAGAAAGGCGCTATACAAGTACAGATCCATTTACAATTTACAATTTTTACACTGTCTCAGCTGCTGTATCAGACTGTTGTAGATGAGGTGAGGATGTATTCCATGATGGCTGTATAAAACAGTAAGAGTGGCAGAAGAATTGTTAGTTCATGCCATCTGAAATTCTTTGAGGCACAATTTTGTCTCAAATGTTTCGTGGTAGAAGATGTGAGCTTCTTTACATGGCCTATTCAAGTCCCGCCCCTTTACAGTGATATAAAGTGCTCTTGCTGTGACACAGTAATACGCACAATGAAGAGCTTCACCTTAATAACAGCTTTACTTCTCTGCAGCCTCAGTAAGTACTGCTGTTGAATTATTCAGAGCGGCAAATTCAATTCTAATCTCTCTTTATCCAGTAATGCATTTATTTTTTCTAACTTTCAAATTACTTCTTAACGAATCAGCTTATGAGTAAATCTCATGTTGTCTCTTCTGTGTGTTTCAGGCTGGATCTCTGTCTCAGGTTCTGAGTCTCAGACTGTGGAGGTTCAGCCTGGTGAAGATGTCACACTGCTGTGCTCCAATATTTATGGAGTTACAATTCAATGGTTCAGAGTGACCAACAGAACCAAACCCAGCTGCATCTCCTATCTGTACAGTGCTGATGGTAAAGCTGAGAAAAAGGTAAAATACTGTGATGAATTTCACAAGGGGCAATTTAAAATGAGCTCCAACTTCTCCACTGATTTTCTTCAAATCAAGCAAGTGAATTTATCTGACTCTGGACTGTATTTCTGTGGATATTACCTAAATGGACACACCGTCATTTCCACTGCAACATATTTAAATGTTAAAGGTAAGTTTGTAATTAAGTCTTACCTCTTTTAAATATCTACTCTCTCCATCATATTTACAATATATCTCTAATGTATTGTCACAGTATGATAGCAGAATAAAGTCAATGAAAAAAACAAAACAATTAATTTGGTTTGATCGTCTTTTAAAGGTGATAGTGAATCTGATGATGAGGTGGATTTTCACACTCAAAGTAAGGTTCTACTTTCCTCTCTTAGGATTATTTTCATTGTGCAAGTTACCATAGAGCCACTTATTTTGATTAAAACACAGATTAAAGAATTCTACCATGTTTCCAGTAGAGAATCATGATGGAATGACAACCCTAATGAGTGTGATCCTGGGTGGTCTGACTGCTGTCCTCACTATAGTCATCATTGTTCTGGCTGTTAAAATCAGGAAACTTCAGACAGGTACAATACATTTATAATTTGTTGCACATCATCTAGTGAGCTGTGTCAACATGACGGACAAATCCAAAGTAAAGTATGTGATCAGTAATAATGAACTAATCAGACTTTTGTCTTTTGTCATTTAGCTGTGAAGGAAGAAGCGCAGCCAGAAAGAAACAAGGTGAACCCACCATTAACTTACACAAACTGTGTGTTATGGTTTTAAAGTTGCATTTGAACACATTATACATCTAGTGCCATATCAGCATGTATATATGTATTATAGATAGCATTGGTTCAACATAATGGACAAACAACGTGCCACCTAATATTGATTTTCATTCAACCAAAATTAGCCATCAGCTGCATGCAAGTGCATAAAAAGAATAGCAAGGATATTTTAGCTCATTATTAATCTCTTCTACTGATATATTTTGTCCAAATTGCCTCACATTACCAGGAAATGAATATACCATATGAACTCTCAGATGTCCATTCTGGTAACAACACTCTTCAGCTGAATTATGAATTCTCTTCCACAGTCATGAAAGTGATCTTAAAGGCTGAAATCAGG